GGACTAAATCCCTAAAACCTGTCTATTTTAGAGAAGAAATGAGGGACATTCCCGAGGAAGGGGAGTTTAAACAGTAACCATGAAATCTTAGACTGAGTAGAACAAAGGAAACAGAGAGGGAACAAATTGGATGAACCAATGAGTTTCAGGGCTAGGTGAAATCCACAATGCTTGTTAGAATGTGGTCCACAAACCACACAATAGCTGAATTATGAGGATAAAGAAGTATCTGTTATACTGCAGGAATTTATGCAATAAGAACTTTCAGCCAGTATCAGATGTAGTCTGTTTCTTGGATTATTTGAGAGATTTTAGATTTTGAGAACAAAGCACGTTAACAAAGATTTGACTATGGGTGTGAAAACAATATGCCTCTAGATATTTATCTGAACACAAAGGTTGATGTAAGAGTGCTATTTTATTACTGTTAAAACTGGAATATAAGCAATGATTTGGCATACATTATTTGTACTACTGTGGTATTTTGTCTAGTTTATAAATTTGATTTTAGAATTTTACCCTGATAACTAGAAAAATGGGGACAAAAATTAATACTTTCATAAAGATTTATCTTAAGAGGCAGATATTTTGAAATCTATTATTTTTACTGTATGTTCAAAGTAGGCCAATCCGTTTTCCAAAGGATTTTCTGTTGTGGTTTAAGTTGTTATCATCTGTATTTCAGATAATCCAGAATGTAAGATCCATTAAGATACATACATTTTTTTACTCTCTGCTGTAATATATATCCAAAAGATGCACAGACACATAGAAAACAATTTAAAAAATGTGTGTGTGTGTGTGTGTGTGTGTGTGGTGCAAAGGATAAAACCTAGGGCCTCACACATGCTACGCATGTACTCTACTACAGAGGTACATCTCTAGCTCCAAATATTTTAAATCAACAAATAGTCATAGAACATTTGAGTAGGACAAGACAAAAAATAAAAAGGCAATTGAAATCCTTAGAAGAACTGTGAAAACAGACTTATCTTGTTCAACATAATGGCAAAAAGTGAGTAACTATTATGGTTTATTTTAACTGTTGACTTGGTTGGCTTGAGGGCTGCCTAGGGGAAGAGTAAATCTCACTTCTAGGTGTGCCTGAGTGGATCCTGAATGTGTGACCTTGGGGATTTTATCTGGTCCCTGACCCCTTCCTTTCAGGTGCTCTTACAGTACTCTGTTTATAGGCAAACACGAAAGGAGCAGTTCTACTCTGCCATTCCCTGCTGCCCTGATGTTTCTGCCTTGGAGCCAGTCAGCCAAGGACTGAAACCTCTGAAACCATGAGCCAAAGTTAAATCTCTCTTCCCTTAAGTTGTCAATGTCAGGTATTTTGTCCAACAATTAAAAGCTAACTAATGCATTAGCTTTACTTATAAATAACACTTATTACTTAAAATATTTACAAAAAGTAAATGATTATCCTTGAGATACAAATGATTTTATTTAATATACAGAAGTATAAAATTGCTAATATCCATATTTCATAATGGTAGGTTAAATGTCCTTCTTGGAAAATCATTAAAAATCTAAAGAGATACTTATTTAATATGACTGTGCAGTCCTATCTTCCCTAGGTGTCAAACACTACACAAATTCCAAAAGCCTCTACCTGACCACTGACTCACCAACAATGATTCTCAAACATTATCACTATGGCTGATCATCTTTGGTGTAAAAGCATAATTTCTAAACTCCAAATAGATTACAAAATACAATTTCACTATTTATTTCTAAAAAATGACAAAGATTTAGTCATCAAAAATAACTTAAGGGGCTGGGAATTTAGCTCAGTGGTGCCACTGCCTGCCTTGCAAGCGCAAGGTCCTGAGTTCAATCACCAGTACCAAAAAGGAAAAAAAAACAGCAAATAAAAAAAATTCTTATAACCTAGCCTATAAAAATATAAGTTCATGGAGAGACCTAGAATAGCAATAGCAATTCTAGGCAACAGAGACATGGCTGGGGGTATCACAATCCCCACCTTGAAACTATACTACAAAGCCACTGTGATAAAAACAGCATGGTACTGACAAAGAAACAGACCCAAGGATCAGTGGAATAGATTAGAAGATGCAGAAACAACTCCAGACACACTCAGCCACCTCATCCTTGACAAAGAAGTCAACCACCCTCATTGGAGGAAAGATAGCCTATTTAATAAATGGTGTTGGAATAACTGGATTTCAACCTGCCAAAGATTAAAACTAGACCCGTACCTATCACCATGCAGTAAATTAACATTGAAGTGGATTCAAGATGTAAATATTAAAATAGAAACACTAAACTTGCTGGAAGATAAGTTAGGTAGAACTCTTGAAAACATTGGAATAGGAAAAGACTTTATGAACAAAACCTCAGTAGTATGGGAACTAGCACAAAGAATCAACAACTGGGATCTCATCTTATTAAAAAGCTTCTGCAGTGTAAGAGAATCCACCAACAGAATTAAGAGACAACCTACAATGTAGGAAAAAAATTTTAGCAGCTGTACATTAGACAAAGGACTACTACCTAGAATATATAAAGAACTGAAAAAAATCAGACCCCACAAATTCAAAGACCCAATTCAAAAATGGGCATTTGAAATGAACAGACATTTCTCAGACAAAGAAGTAAAAGCAGCAAATAAACATATGAAAAAATGTTCCACATCACTGGTCATTCAAGAGATACAGATGAAAACAACACTGAGATTCCACCTCAACCTAGAAAGAATGGCTGCTATGAGAAATCAACCAATAACAAATGCTGGCGGAGGTGTGGGGAGAAAGGAACCCTTCCCCATTGTTGGTGGGAGTGCACACTGGTGCAACCACTGTGGAAATCAGTATGGCAATACCTCAAAGAACTAGGGCTAGAGGTCCCATTTGACCCTTCCACTCCCCTGCTGGGTATCTTCCCAAAGAATTAAAAGAATCATACCACAGCGATATATATACATCCATGTTTATGGTGGCACAGTTCGTAATAGCTAAAGCTTGGAAACAGCCCAAGTGCCCATCAACTGGAAACTGGATAAAGAAGATGTGGTTCTTCTATAAAATAGAGTACTACTCATCCACAGAGAATGAGAAAACTAGAGACATTTATAACTAAATGGATGCATATTGAGGCCATACTCTTAAGTGAAATAAATAGGACACACATGTATAAATACCGAATAGTTTCTCTAGGGTGAGAAACTGAAAATGTAAATAAGGATGAAAATGATTAAAATGAATAATTGACAATTTGAAATAGGAAGAAAAGGTCCAAAAGAGTAGGGGTGGTGGGAGGGGAAGGGGAAAGGAAAGAAGTTAAAGGAAAAATTATGAGAAAAGAAAAAAATGGAAACAAAGTCTATGTAAATAGGGAAGGGCGCACAGATAATGGGGAAAAAATAAGAACCAAGATACATTATGTACAGGTACAAGCACTTAATGATAAATGTAAACGTATTGTTTACCTAAAATGTACCAATAAAAGAATTTAAGGAAAAAAAAATATATATATGTAAGTTCATGGGCTGGGGATTTAGCTCAGTGGTTCTGCCGCCTGCCTCGCAAGTGCAAGGACCCGAGTTCGATCTCTGGTATCAAAAAATATATAGATAGATAGATAGATAGAGATATAGATATAAGTTCATAAAATTTCATAATAAGTCACATAATGTGAAAACCAATATATGTAACATTTGCTATATTTTGAATATGAAACCGAGTAAATTTCTTGATTTCTTTTTTAGTAAGTCCTAGTCTCTCAAGCCACAAGTGAATATTCCATTTTCTTACCAAAATAATTTTCAAAAGTTACATATAATTTTTTTTAAAGTTACACATTGTTGATCCTAAAATTTCAGCGGATGAAAAAAATCACCCATAAGAACAAAATGAGTTTACAAGGTCCTATCATGTGTAACTACAGGACTAGCGATTTTGGTCAAAGGCCTTTTTAGGAAATCAGTATGTTTTCCACCAGGAGCTTTGAATTTGAAAATGACAATCACTTTGATTTATGAACCTCAACAGAGTTCTGTTTTAATCTTCATGATTATTTTACATGATTAAAGTTTTTTCCCATCTAAAAAAAGCTGTGCTTACGTTTAATCCAATTGTAACATGACTCATTCATTGTAAATCATCATTAATGACACTTAAATAAACTATAAAAACCATAGCCTAATACACAGAGGACGGAGCCAACCGTTAGAGTGCTACTTGGCCTTAGTCTCATGCCATGTTAGCCTCTAGGAGAATTCCTGAAAGAGCAGGAACTTTCCCAGAGCATGGCATGATACAAATCTGATCTGCAGAGGAGATGGAACATTCCAAAGTTGAAATGTTTTGAGTAGTAAATGTTTTAATATAATTGTAAGTTTCAATGACTTCAAACAGCAGGGCTTTTAGTAGATTTTTCCCTTTAAAAAAAAAAACATTTCTTTAGCATCTTCTGAAATGTTTTATTCCTGTTTATCTCTTAGGAATGTAGGAAGTGTCAATGAGATAGTATTTATAAAGATGTTAAGCTTTCAAAGAAAGGTGTTAAATATGTAGAGGTATTAGTAGATCCTATAAAAAATAGCAAATAATGTTCTGAAATTTGAAAAACATCCCTATGCTTTGTTCTTTGGGTACAATGTTTTGACAAACCAAATAAATACCAGATTGAACTGAGGTCATATGTATAGTCAAAACTCAAAAGAATATCTAATTTTCTATAACATAAAGCCCAGGATTTTAATGTCTTTATAAACAGGAGCTATTTTAATTACTATCCAGTGTACTTACTGTCATGCAATAAAAAGCAACAATAATAGGAGCATTATCTACAGAATAGCATGTTCAACAAATTGCTAGTCTCTCACATCTCTGTGACTCATGATTAAACCAAATCTGGTTTTGTTTGTAATGTCAAAATAATCCCTTTCAACTCAATGTGTATTTTAAAAAATGCCTTCTACCTTTCTGCAGAAGAGGAAGGAAAACAAAACAAAGCATCTCTTTGAAATTTACCTTGAATAATAAATTGCTCCATGTTTTCTTTGAAAGGCTGCATGTGCTCTTTGGAGGAGACCTGGTACACTTTCCCTGCTTCAGTCTCACAGGCTGAAATGAGAGAGGCACATTGTTTAGAGTGTCATGGTGTTAGTGGAGCATTAAAACAATTTTACAAACATATTAGCTAATGCTAGAAAATCTTGCTAACCACCTTAATTGACATATGTGGCACACGTATTTTGGAAACAAGAGAAGTCTATGATTAAGGTTTCTTTTCAGAGAATCATGAAAAGAAATTCTTCAGAATCCACACAGTTCTCTCACTTCCAAATTGATCACTTGCCAAACGTCTGAACTTCAGGTTCTTTATTTATAAAATTGGCAAGCTACTAGAACATGCCTCACAGTACAGGTACGAGGATCAAATCTGTTAATAGATGTAAAATGTCAGAATGGTGCTTAGTACATAGTACAGCCATCATATATAACTATTTTCATCATTTTTTCATCAACTGACTTCTAACACAAGTTTATTCCTGAAGTCCAAATTTCTGAAAAAACAAAAACCAACAGTGTTTGTAATGTTAGTACAGAAACCAATAATTACAATGTATCTATTATCTGCCAAGAGCTTTTCATCTATAATAAGTTAATACTTAGAACATGCTAGTAAGGTAGGCATTATTACCCTCATTGGCAGCCGAGAAAGTTAAGGTTCAAGTAAGTCACTCATTTTCTCAAGGGTCTATGTATACTGTAAAGCCAGATTCATAGCTGAAATCCTCATCTGATATCAAAGTTAATCTTCCTACCATGTCTGGACATCATATTTTAGGCAGTCTACAGATCCGATTTGGGCTATTTAAGAAGCATATCTACAAAATTTTCTGAAGCAGTGCCTGGCATCATAGTGATAGCAAGAAATCTAACTCAGAAAGGAAGAAATTCAAAACTGAAAAGTATAATATGTATCTGAGGCTGGGTATGGTGAATCATGCCTGTAATCCCAGCAGTCCATAAGGCTGAAGCCGAAAGATCACAAGTTTAAGCCCAGCCAGGCCAACTTGTTGGCTTAGGGAGACCCTATCAACAAACAAACAAAAGGGCAGGTTGGGGGGCTTCATAGCTCAGTATGAAGGCCCTGGTTCAAACCCCAAAACTGTTAAAAAAAAAAAAAAAAAAAAAAAAAGGTACATATCTGAACGCTGAAATACTTGTCAGACGCAAATTTGCCTCAGGAAAATGTACTCTGATATTTTGTGCAAACTAAATGCAACTTCTTAAGGAAAGGTTGCCATTTCTGTAAGACTTCATTCTTAGGCTCTTTAACTTGTTTTCTTTTTCTTTATAAAAGTGTTTTTTCCTCTTATTTCCCCTTGCCACCAGGTCATTAACTTGTCTAGGCAGTGGAATGCAGGAAGGCCCATATTGTTTGTACACATTTTCTCCATCCAAGGTAAGAGAAAACTTGGCTTAGTAAAATCTAAGGCCAGACTTGAACATCTAAAGTTCTCCCTCCTGGCTCTACTCCCTCCCCAGGCACAATCTCCCGCCTAAGATGCCAGAGATTGCCCAATCCATACCCTCCGTTCAGCTATCTTATTGCTCCAGACACACATACTAAACTTCTGCCCATATCAAATCCTCAGTATTTTCCACACAGGACTCGTTACTGCCTTCTCTAAACTTATCACCTCCCTGATCTCCTTTTGTTGGTGGGACCACTACTTAACCTAAAAACTCAGGCCAAAACAGGAGAGTTATTCCTGAGTAACTTTCTTTACCCTCAAATTCTGCGGTTTTTCCCCCATAAATATTTTTTAAGTTGGCTCAATTCTCTGAATTCTTGGTCTATTCTGGCACAAAAACCCTCATCCCTCCTACTAAGGCTGCTGTAAAAACCCTTCACCTGGGTTTCCTAGCCCCAACATTACACAAACCTATGGTTTATGGTCCTCCTCCTAGCTTTCAAAGCTATTCAGACAAGACTCGACAAATTGCCTAAAGCTGTTCAGTAGCTTCTGCACTTTCAGCTATACACTGTTGTTAGAGGAACAGAAGAACAATTTCAAGGCCTTCAATATGAACTATAGTACTTACTACAATGTAGGCTTTGGTAAACATTCAAATCATTTATTAACTGATATTTTGTGCAGACTAAATGCAATTTTCATCTCCATATCTGTGCTCATGCTACCTTCTATGCTTAAAATGATTTTTTTACCCTCACTTTTAAATTGCCAATTCCCACTACAACTTTATAACTTAGCTCAGATGTAACTGTCCCTGAAAGGCAACCCTCACCTCCCTACACCCCTTTCTCTCCCTCATTTCTGCCACCTGTTCCCAGACAGGCCTGGGCATCTCCCTCTGTGATCCCACTGCATCCTGTATTTATAGAGTTAAAGCTATTATTTACTGAGCAATTTTATGTGCCAGGGACTCTTTCTAAGAGATTTACAAATGTACTATCCCATTAAATCCTCATAAAACCCCTTGGAAGTATATTATTCATATGCTCACTTTATCTCAGAGGAAAAATACAGTACAAAGAAAATGCCCACATTTGCTGAGTTCATAAGTTAAGGAAGTGGGATTCAACATCAGCTATCACATTGTATTCAAGGTATTTGTAATTGTTTCTGTTCTGCCCTCCTAGATTGAACTGCTGGTGAGAAAACCTGTCATATTCCTATTTTTACCTCTAGTGCCTGACACAGGCAAAACGTTGTTGAAAGGGTGAATGGCTGGATAATTACCTATAGAAATGGAAATATTCTTGATCGTGGAATCTAGCAAACAAAGTTTAAATTCCACTTCATCCACCCACAGAATGCACCTTGGGATGGAAGTTAATTATCTCACCTCTGAGGACCTTAGCTGCATTACCTGACGGTGAGATTAATGAAATCTCTCACATTAATGAGATGCTGAGCAAAATGTATTTAAAAATGCCCAAAACTGAACTTGGGATGTGTAAGTGCATGTACAACAAATAGTAGTTCTCGTTGCTGTTTTAAAACAGCAGAGTTCAGGCTAGAGAAATCTATAATGAAATACAGTAGCAGCTTAAAAGCTGAAGTATGGTCTCAAAGTCATACTTACTTCAAAGCTGAATGAGCAAAAGTTAGAAAAAGGGATGTGGACTCAATGTGAAGTGGATGGCTAACATTTAGGGAACTCCTACAGTGAAGTCACATGCCTTGTGAGGTGTGTGTGTATGTGGGGTACTTCATCACTGGCTTATTCAGAAATTAGCTGGTGGAAGACATGAGTCAGATGAGGAGACACTGAAGTCAGTTTCCCGTGACCTATATCATTTGTGGGAGCCCCATTCTGTATTTTGAATGTCTCCAGCTGAATAATAAGGACATACTTGATCATGTCATAATTCCTAGTGCCTAACAGCTTAAGTCAGTGTGGAAAAATAATATATAATATCTAGTCACTTTCACTTGGCTTGATTTTCAAAACTTAAAGTCTAGAGGCAAGGGAGATTAATATTTTGACTTGTGATCCCAACTAGTTCGTTTTCCATTTAAAAATTTTTAAACTAGAATTAACAACCGCCTTTTTTATTCATGATGCTATAGACTGTCTTGAGGCACCAGATATTTTAAAAATACCCTAATACTAGGAACTGGCAGAAGTTTGTCTCATGGGTCACGTGCCTGAAAGAAAGATTTCATTAAGTAGGAAACCAGACTGTCTGTGATAAAGTCCACCAAAATTTCTCTGGATTTTTATTTTTACTCAATAATTTTTAATCAACAAGACATTTAGCAGATAAGAAAATGCATGCTATAATAATTTCCCTTCAGTCTTTTTTGTATTACAAATTGATTTTCACTTAATCTTACAAATATCCTTGGCCCAATTGTGTGAACTATATTCTTAACAAAAATGCAAGCATAAAAATGGTTCCTCTGTCTTTCTCCCTTACCTTATGTAGTATAATTTCTTGTACCCAGTGGGAATCAAATAGAATTTTTAATCTAGAAGAGCCATGGAAAATATATACCCAGTATCTGAGTGTTTCCAGCAATATCCATCCACATCTTCCTTACTAAGCTGTTTTGTTCATTAGATTTCCCAACCACATGCTGAGCAGAAAACTGTGTAGTACACTGGCTGTGGAATGCTATCACTAGAGGTTGCTATAAAACATTCCAGGAATATTCATAGAAAATGTGTGCAATTATAAAATAAGTAAAAAATATTAAGCCCATGATTGATAGTTCAGGTCTTCAGTGAGTATCAGAACAAATCCGCTCTCATTAAGGACAGATTTCTCCTCTACACATCTCCTAGCATTCTCAATTTATTCATGCCATTGTGTTGCCAGTACTCATAATATCCTCTAACAGGAAATGTGCATCTAACAGTTAATTAATTATCTGTGGGATGCATGGATGAATTAATTCCATCCTCCTTTCATAGAGAACTTCTTATTAACTTGTAAAATATCATATTATTCAAATTTCCCCAAGCCTTATCCACATTATTTACCCATCTGACATATTTTTACCCCTTACAATCAATCGTCATACTTCCACTTATCTATTTGTACCCAGCTTCTGATCCCACTGCCACCCTAAGCTAAAAAGGATGATCTTGCCCTCAACTCTGTAACTCTTTTTCTACAGAACATGTGAATGATATGAAATAAAAGTAAAGCTTGGATAGAATAGAACTGAATCCAAGTCTAGTTCTACCACTAGCTATGTAATTTTGGGCCAGTTTCTTAAATTATTTGAGGTCCAATTAGAAGCTGAACTTTCAATGCTAACCACTGATCTGGCTTTCAGAATCTCATAAAACATGACAGTTGTTAATGATATTGTCTTGTTGCATTTATTTATCTTTGTCCCTAATTACAGCTCACATTCCTTGAAGCCCAGGGCTGCCCTATTCATCTCTGTGTGTGTCTGAAATACAGAAGTATTAAAATCCTTGCATGAAAGAAAATGGTTTCAATGTACCCAGGGTCATGAATATCCTTAATTTGGATATTATATCTCTGGAGGTAGCTGAATTGTGCTATCACAAAGTGTACCAAAACCCAAATCCAAATATCCAGAGCTCTTCACTATGATATAAAGTCTGTA